TTCCCAACTTTTGCATTCCAGTCACCCATTATTATCAATGCATCTTGATTACATGTTCGATTTATCTCCGACTGTAAAAGTTGGTAGAAACCATCTGTTTCTTCTTCTTTGGCTCTGGTTGTGAGCCTATTAATGTCCTTTGAGTAACCTGACCAGCTTCATTTGTTGTTACTGTGTCAGAGAATTCTCTATTATATCAGTGCCTACTCACACACTCATCGTCTAACTGATGCAAGTATATTATCTGCCAGTCGCTGTGTGTGGTCCTGAGAGGACAGTGGCTCTGTGGGGAGCACTTAGAGTCTCCTCCATAAGAAGAGTTGCAAGTGAACAATCAGTGAACTAATTAATCACAATTTTGATATGTGCTCTGAAGTAGTAACAGAAATTATTGTTTTGTGTGGCTGAGTCAGAATTGACCCAGCTGACCCCACCGTGGGTTTTCAGAGGCTGTGAATCACATTGGAGAAAACGGTTTCTCTTTCTCCCACAAAGCAGCTGGTGGATTCAAACTGCTTGCTTCTGGGTTGTCAGTCTAACTCCTTATCCATTGTGCCACTAGGTTCAGTGGAAGTTAAGATAGTGAGTAAAGGAGAGTTCTATCTTAGGCTGGGGCTTTAGGGCTTTCTTTCTTGAGGAAGCTATGTTTAATATTAGTAATTATTTCTTCGTAAGTCTTGTCTCCCATCGTGATTGGGTAAGCGCATGGGTGAGGATGTCTGCATGACTCTTTTTGTGTTCTATACACCCAGTAGAGTTCCTGGCAAAGGAGTTTCCCTTGCTTTGTGTGCCCACTAACACGTGGTGCTCCCTTACCCCTGGATCAGCTTCGCTAACCCTCGCCTTGTGTCTACGTTGCAAACAAGCAGACTGACCATATAGGTCTGCCTTATAGGGGATGCACTTGCTAGGAGACTGCATCGCCACTGTCAGTGGGAATGTGATGTTTTACTTACAGTTTGTCAATGTTTGATGTTTCACCTGTTGCTGCAAGGAATCACGAGGTGAGAAGAAAGCAGGCAGATTTTCCTCACCAGCCTTGGCTGGCTTTCAAGCGGGTGCTGTCTCTCCAACCTGGGGTGTAGTAGCTCCCTTTGGATTTTGTCGCTCTTTGTGTGTTAAAGTCTCCCCTCCTGGGTCTAGGCCCAGGTTGTGGGAGGAGAGGGCAGAATGCCTTACCATCCTCATCTTCATTGTCAGCACTGCCCACAAAGACAGTGGACGCAGCTTTACCGTCATACCTACCCTTTCAGTACAAAATGACAACCAGAAGCCTAAGTACCCCCCCACATTTGGCTTCTAAAATAAGCCAAATAGGAAATTCCTAGCTGGGAGGGAAGTTTATTGTTAAACTGTGCTGTGAGCGCTCAGGTGCCTCTTCAGCTCAGGCTCTGAGTGCATCCATTCTGTGTGACACCAGAGGGGCCTGTTTTAGTACACATCTGTTATATACTCTACGAGTAATTTCCAAAATCAATCTATTTTTTAAATAGTAGCTTTTGGTATGAGGACAGAGGATTTGAAACACATGAGAGGTCCAGTTCTTTCTGTCTGCATTGATCGTATTGATCGTTCCTTTTGGTGACTGTGTGTGTATATGTCTGTGTGTATGCTTGGGTGCGTATTTGTGTGTGAATGTGTTTGTATGCATTTTTTGTGCATGAGTATGTATGTTTTGTAAGTCTGTGATTATATGTATGCATGTGTGCGTATGTCTATGTTAATATGTGTATGCTTGTGTTTATTCATGTGTGTTTGCACATGTGTGAATGCATGTGCATGCATGTATGTATGTATGCGTGCACGTGTGTGTAGTTATGTCTCTCTGTGTGTGAAAACGCCTGGAGATAAAAGGTCTGATCAGGAATGGTGAGGCAGAAAAGGAAGTCTAGCCACCAACTACTGACTTTACTATGCTGTGTTCTTGAAGAGTGTCTTAAACCAGTGAAAATACAATATGGAATTTTAAAAACTCAAAGCAAATAATGTATAGACAGGTTCTTACTGTAGCTGGACTGTAGTTATGTTTAAGGAGTTAGGAGAGAGCCAGCTGGCCGTCAGGATTGTGTCCTTGAAGGTCTCTTTGCTGTAATTGCCGCTGCCCTGGCATCCCGGAACTCCTTGGCTGGTTTTTTGCCAATTGCCTACTAAGTTATTCATTTTGTCCAAAGCTCTCAGGACCACAAAAGTGACGTTGTAATCCACAGGAACTTTTACTAGAGGAAATGATAAAGGAAAAAAAATTAATCTTGTATAAAGTGAGAACAGGGATCTTGTTGTTGGTAGGTGCCATCAAGTCACCTACAACTCCTAGTGAGTGACCCTCTGAACGACAGCTTGCCACCTTGCCCTTTCCTACACGGTCCTCACAGTCCCTGCCACGCTTATGTCCATTGTTGCAGTCACTGTGTCAGAGAGAACTCTCACTCATTGCCGGCTCGCTGCAACTGCCTCCTAACTGACCACCCAGCGGGTTTTCAGAGGCTGTAAATCACACGAGAGAAGCTCGCCCATCTGCCTCCTTAGAGCAGCTGGTAGATTTGAATCACCTGGCGACCCACCTCCTTACCCACTAGGCCACCAAAGCACCTTGTAGAAAAGGGATGGTTGTGGAAGAAAAGTTAAGCATAAAAAGTGCAAGTTTCAAAATGGTCCTGGTTTTAAAAAAACAAAACAAAACAAAACAAAAACAAAAAACTGTAACAAGTCTAGAAGGAAATTGAAGATGCTAGTTGCAGCAAATAGATGTATAACAGAGTATTTGACTTTTCAGCAATCTTTACATGCACATTTCGGTGACATTAATTGTGTCTATCATGGTCATTAATTGTGTCTGTCAACTGTCACCCTTATTGGTTCCCATCTCCCTAACAGAAGCTCAATGCGTCATAAACACTGAATCCTTCTCTCCTCTCATGCCCTAAAGATTCAGAGCCAGTTCTACGGCAACTAGTAACAGCAACAACAACATTTACTCCCATATAAACTCTTTTTGTTTCTCCAGCTACCAGAAATTCCTTCAAAGCCTTCTTCACAAAGCAAAGAAGACCGCCCTGTAGCAGCACAAGGCATTTAGGACAACCCCAGAGGAAATTCGGCCTCTAACATTTAGGAGAGAGTAATTTTACCCCTGAGCTTCAGCTTCCTAATTGCTCATCATTTACTCAGCAAATATTTACTGAACACCTACTATGTGGCAGGAATAATTCTAACTTACTGAGGATAATGGCATTTTCCTTCATTATCTGGGAATCAGGATAAATGCCTACATGGAAAGGGGGAAAGTGAGAAAGCTGGGGAAAACCAAACCAAACCAAACCAAACCAAACCAAACCAAACCAAACCAAACCAAACCTAGGGCAGCAGAGGTTGGTACACAGGTGGGGTGAAGGAACAGGCCAGGCACAGTGAGGATCTGATAGAAGTGGTGCTAAAGGGCTTTGATCCATTGTAACTGATATCATAGAGCATAATGCATATGAATGATTAAATGAACACCAAAAAGATACCTGAGGGTACTAAAATGAAAACGTGAAGGTTTTAAAACATGGGATGGTGGTGTTATGTAACATCGAGTTGGACTCAACCGAGGCTGGCCCTGCAGTGGGTTTTCTGAGGCAGTTAATAACAGAAGAGGTTTCCCATCTCTCTCCTGCGGGGCAGCTAGTGGATTTGAACCACATACCCTTGCGTTGCCAGAGTGATTCCTTACCACCATAGTTGCTATCATGTTATTGTTTTTTAGCACAAAGCTTTTTCTCTGTTCTCTTAATTTGGGTTGGGTGTTTGTTTTTTTTTTTCCAGTCATCATCAGCTGACCTGGATTCCATGGGCCCTAACTTGCTCAGTGAGAACCTGCCTGACATTTGTCCTCAATTGTGTATAGGGTGATGTGGAAGATGACATGTGATGTGTCATCCAGATAGTCATCAAGTCAGCTCGCTCCGTCATGGAGATGCTGGTACCTCAACTTTCCCTCTTTGCCTCTGATTCAAGTTCTCCTGAGCCACTGTGGCTGCCTGAATCAGCCCAGTCTCTCCCCCAAGGCTACTTTGTCATGTGCTGTCACCAGACCAGATTCCCTCATCCAACATGACGTCTTGCAGGTCACACTTCCCAAAAAATTCCAAAATGTTTTCCTTTTTCTCTGGAGCACTTCCGTGTGTCTGCTTTTGTGTTTCTGCCAACTCCAATACCTGGGTCGTGAGTTTCATGGGCCTCCCGTAGCCTCACCCCACTTCGTGTTCTGTGCTTCCACTCTCAGGCTGTGGGATATTCCTCCTGTGCTGCTAACACATGCACGCCGTGTCCCTGCCTGGTGTCCCAGCCCTTAATTCCTCTCACTCTTACTCCTGGACAACCTTTCACTGCTGGACCGTTCTTTTTAGCTATAAGGTTAAGTACTATATTAGAGGCTCTTGTAAATACAGCAGTCTAAAGGCGTCACCTTACTACTGTAGTAAAGCTTTGACCTGAGTCTGGAATCCATGTTGGGTTTAAAAACCAGCCTCCTCTAACAGCTGTCCCTCTAATCTTGATGGTGACCTAAGCAGATACCCTAAGGGAGATATTCTGTTTTTTCTGAGGTCTGCAAAATAGACATCACAGCCTATTCCCCAAAGGCTATTAGACAATAATCAGACAGATTTAGGATGTGGAAAGCTCACAACTTGATGGCTCTTAATGCAGGACACTATTGAGGAATCTTTACAATGGACCTCCAGAAACAGATATTATTGAATAAGCAGTTTTTATAGCAGGTTACATTGACCATCCTGTCATAACTTGAAGAACACATATGTGTGCAATAATGTTCTTGTAACTAGTCATGTAATTTCACATCTGTGTTAACCAAAATACCTACTTCTAGATAGCCTATCCTTGACCTTCTGGTTGTCTTTTAGCTAAATCTAATTTTGTAACTTTTAATTTTGCTACAACTGTTTTCTTTGTTTTGGTTGGTAGAACAGCGATTTTCATTAATTTCATGAATTTTGGCATCTTTCCTGTCCTGGTCGTCTCTCCCTCAGGAAAGCTCTCTTGCTTTTACTTTAAGCAGTCTCTAGGGCTATTGCTCTGTGACAGTACTTTTTCATAGGCTGGCTTGGACTGTGCACTGTGGCTTCATCTGTGTCAGTATCTGGCCAGCCCAGTGCTGAACATGTGTTGTTACCTGCCATCGAGTCAGAACTGGCCCATAGATGAGCCTCCAGTGGGTTTTCAGAGGCTGTAAATCACCTCTGTACATAGGGAGGAGATTCCCCCCTTTTTCTCCAGTAGGGCAGCTGGTGGATTTGAACCCCATACCTTTGGATTGGAAGTGTAACTCCTTACCACTAATCCACTAGAGCTTGCATAGCACAGTCTTCTTGTAACTGCCATTAAGGGATTTCCCCAGTGATATTAAAAAAGTGCCAGGGAACTTATTCTAAGAAGACACTACCTAAGATGAGGACCTACCAAGCCATTTAACGATGACTTACCAATGTTAACATACCTGGAATAAAAAAACAAACAAACCAAAAACAAAAACAAAAGGAAAGCAAAATAAAAATAAAGAAGAATGACTGGCTGTGTGAGCTCTTACTTCTCAGCCTCTCTGGGTATGGCTGCTGACCTGCAATGACAATCTGCAAAGAAACCATGGTGGTCTGCTGTCTAGTCCCAGCTGTGAACCTGGCATGTCTGAGGGTATAGGATTTTGACCTTCAACTTAAATCATTGCCACAATAAGTCCACTTATCACAGTTGTGACATGAAACTTAGGAAAGGGCCTGGCACACAGTAGGCATTCAGTGGGCTTTGTCTTTTCCTTCCACTTCTCCTAGGCTCCACCTTAAGGTCTCTATAAGAGTTGTGATTTCCCTTATACTCCGGCATGTTCCCTGTCAAGGACTCTGGTGACACTCCCCCCGCCCCCCTGCCTCCTATATTCCTACTTTGAGAAGTTCCCAGACCTCTTACCTCCCCTTTTCCAGCATCAACACAGGTGTGACTCCCCACTCCATTCCAACAGCAAAGCTCCTCACCTCATTGTGTGCCATCTTAAGTTAGAGGCCTGTAATTCCTTTTTAAGTAGTCTCTCTGAACCCCATCTCCTTTCCCATCCACAAGGTCACTCCTGGTCCTCATCCTGAATTTTAGGATTCTTGTTCCTGTCCTGGCAGGACAAGGTCTATTCCCTGAGGGAGAGGGGCATATTTGGCTCCTTTATCACCAAAGCTCTCAATGCAGTTCCCGTGAGGAAAATGAAAGCATGATACGCCAGGGTAAGTGTGTGCAGACTGCCTATGGTGGTTCACCTGGCGACACTTAAAACCTTAGAAGATGCGTGTGGACAGTACCTGGCTTTCTCTACAAGATTTAGTTAAAGTTTGGGGGAGGTGGAATAGCAGTAGATAAGAAGAGGGGTTCTGAAGCAGAACAGCCTGGCTGAACAATGCTCATCAAGTTTTGACTTTGTTCCTTAAGTCCAAAGCTTAGCTGTGCTACTTACTGCATGCCCTTGGTTGAATGTCTCAACTTCCTGGACCTCAGGCTTTTCTTTTCTTTCTTTCTTTTTTTTTTTTTATCAGTAAAACTTGGGAAGATAATCGCATTTTCTTCTAGAACAGTGCCCAGGACATAGTAAGACATGTTAACTCATGACTATCATTGAAAAGTCTGTCTCATCACACTTGGAAAGGTGGAGGGTCAGCAGAGGAGGAGAAGGCCCTCAACGAGATGGACTGACACAGTGAGTGCAGTGGTGGGCGAGAGTAGGTCAGAGATGAAGGGGGTGGCAGAGGAGAAGGCAGAGTTCAGATCCATTGTTCAAGTTTGCAGTGAGTTGTGGTTGACTCAACAGCACCTAACCACAACAACCCTGTCGTGGTTCAGAGCAGGGTTTCTAGAGCAAGAAGGTCTGCATTCATTCATTTCCTGGCTCCACCATTAAAGTACCTCTATTATCTGAAAAGGGAGCAAGGGTAGCTTAGTGGTAAGGATTTGTGCTGCCAGCACAGGGTCTGTGGTTTGAATCGACCACCAGCTGCTCTGTGGGAGAAATATGAGCAATCAACTCCTGTGCAATTTGTGGCCTCTGAAAACCTGCTGGAGGGCCAGCTATGGGTCAGTTCTGACTCTATTGTACATGACAACAGCATGATATGAGAAAGTCATTTAGCACTTCTTGTTCAGTTTTCTCACTCAGAAATTGAAAATCATAACAAATTATTATGAGAATTAAATGTATTACTACATGTAAAACACCACATGCAATGTTTTTATTATGAAGCTAACCAGAAAGCACAGTCTTTGACTTGGAAGCTAGTTCATCCCAACAGGAATATTATAGCATTATTAGATACTTGTAAGAAGAACTCTGAATTTGCAATGAAAAGATCCACCTTCAGGTACCAGTTCTGCCACTTGCTAGAGTTGAGATCCTGACCAAGTTGTTACCTGTACTATGTTTCTGGTTCCTCATGTACAAGGGGGATCCCTGGTGACAGAGTGCATAATGTACTGGGCTGCTAACGCAAAGGCCAGTGTTTCGAACCCACCTTGGGCGAAAGATGGATGGTTTCCTCCCATAAAGATTTACAGCTTCGGAAGCATAAAGATGAGTTGCTTTGAGTCAGAATGGACCCAATCGCAGTAGGTAAGAGTATGACATAGCAATTTAACAACTCAACTCATTGTTGTTGGGTCAGAGCTGACTCATCCCTGATACTCTTACACAGAGAAATTGCCCATCTTTCTACTGGGAAGCAACTCGTGGATTTGAATCACATACCTTTGGGTTGGCAGCACAACACTTTAACCACTAGGCTACCAGGACTCCCTTAGCATAAGACATACACAAGGGAGTATGTAGCCTGCCTAGCTCACTGGCTATCCAGCCTCACACTGAATGTGAACAGAACATTCTGGAGTTGAGCAGTATGCAATCACCTAAGCAACCATTGTTTTATCAAGAGGTTGGGAAAATATGTCTTAATGAGATGCAATTACTATCGCTTTAAATACTAATGATGCCTGTGTTACTTCAGGAGGAAAACTTGCTCCAGATGTTCTTTAGCTGCAGCTCATTTAAGTTTTGCATTGGATTTTGTTGGCTCCTGAGACTCAGCTTTGCACAAGGACGTGTAGAAACTTATCCAAACACACTCCCACGTATTCCTACACGTTTTTTCTCTGCTCTCACCCCGCCACCTCTCATTAAACTAAAAAACAGGGATGGAAAGGTGTACTGTGAAATGCAGGTTAATTCTTTCCAGAGAACAAAGGACAGCAGAACGAATGGTTTATACTTACCAGTGTAGAGTTTGTTGCGTTGGTAGACTTCTGGATTAGTGTTGATGGGTGGGCCATTGATGGTGTTGTTGTTAGTGAAGAATGGACATCTGTCATTGGTACTTTGAGAGGTGGCAGAGGCAAGCAGCAGAGCCAAGCACAGAAACAGCCCTGGTGGCAGCCGGGTGGAGCTGAGGAGAGCCATGGTCTTGATCTGTCTGGGAAACTCCGGTACCAGGAAATGGAGTACACTGACTTCTCACCCTCCTATTTATACGTTGTGTGATCGGAGCTTGTTGGATGAGGTCAGACAGGCAAATCTCCCTCCCAACCTTCCCTACAAGGAACTGACTTATGGAAAGAATTTCAAGATTTTATCAGGAATGAAATCTCTTGCATCGATCATCAATTTCTGTTGTGCTCAAAAAGGAGCATATACTGATTATGGTTTTGTGGTGTATTTCACTGATCTCAGGATCTTATTTGAAGAAACCTGTGGAGAAAAGGAAAATACTTGTTGTTAAGTGGTGTCGAGTTAAGTATGACCTGTACTGACAGTATGAATAACAGACCTGAGCCCTGTCCTGTGCTGTGTCATCCTCATAATCTCTAACACACTTGAACCTCTTGCTGCTGTTAGTTACTGTGTCAATCCATTTGGTTGAAGATCTTGCTCTCTCTCTCTTTTTTTTTTTTTTTTATCTTGCTCTCTTTTGACCACCCTCCACCTTACCAAGCATGGTGTCCATGTCCCTTGGAGAAAGTACAGCCAGAGTGCTCCTTGGAGTTAAGGGCGAAAAACTTCATCTCACACACTTTGGACATGTTGCTAGGAGAGGCTAATCCCATAGGAAACTCAGGCATAACACTTTTTTTCCTTTTTAAAATAGAAAACTTCTCTTTCAGCCTTCCTTCAGTGATAATGTTTCTCTAATCTCCAGTTCATTTTGCAACTCGTTTAGAACTTGAAAAAGACTGTTTCTGCATTTATATTTACTTCTTTATTTGGAAAGAAACAACTTCAGCCTGCCTTACCCCTGACACTTTTCTCCACATTAAAGTGCAGCACAAAGACTCAATTAAATGCACAACCAAACACAAACAAGCAAAGACCCCAGAAAAGAAGCTTGTTATGTCTTTCACTTGCTTTTTGTGATTTACTCACTGAAGGGGGCAGAGGAAAGAAGTATTCTATTTGTGAGTAGAAAGAAAAGAAGAATTCTAGAGTTGAATTAAGGTATATGATATGTTGTTGTTGTTGCTGTTATATGCCATTGAGTCATTTGCGACTCATAGTGACCCTATGTACAACAGCCCTAAACTCTGCTCTGTCCTGTGCCAATTGCACTGTCTCTGATACATCCATCCCAATTACTCCAGTCACTGAATCAATCCACCTCAAAAAGGGTCTTTCCCTCCTGTGCTGTCCCTCCACCTTTCCAAGCATGGTGTCCCTCTCCAAGGACCTGTCCCTCCTTACAACATGTCCAAAATATGTTAAGACGGAGCCTCAGAATCTTTGCTTCCAGGGAGCCACCCAGTTTAACCCTTTCCAGGATGAATCTGTTTGTTTTCCTAGCAGTCCATGGTATTCTCAATACTCTTCTCCAGCACCACAGCTCAAAGGCATCAATTC